ATCAATTTGGGTTGAACTGGGTCGGTTTGAAAACGGGTTTAGCCCATTTAATGTGGGTTTCGGTTAAAAACAGTTCGGGTCTTAATCAGGACGGGTCGTAATTGGTTCGGGTCATAATCAGTTTGGGTTTAACTGGGTCGGTTCGAAAATGGGTTTCGGTTCAAAATAGATCGGGTGAAATCGGGTCCAACCATTATTGTTTCGGTTATAATCGATTTAGATTGAACTTGGTTGGTTTGAAAACGAGTTTACCCAATTTGAAACGGGTTTCTAATCAAAATCATATCGGGTTAAAATTGAGTCGGATGATTATCGAGTCGAATTAGTCAGATAATGGGTAGGAACGAGTTATGTTATAATCAAGTCAAGTCATAAATAAGTTGGGTTTATCGAGTAGCGGGTTGAAACAGATTAGATCATAAACATATTGGGTAACAGGTTGTAAATGACTCAGTCATACGGGTTACGGGTTTTAAACGGTTTGGTCATAACGGGCTATGGGTCGTAAACGGTTCGGTCACAACGGGTTACGGATTATAACCGGTTCGGTCACAACGGGTTACGGGTTGGAACGATTTAGGTTTATCGGATTTTTATCGGGTTTTAACTGTTTTCGGTTTAAAACGGGTCGGGTTACTATCGGGTTTAAACGTAATCGGTTTGGGTTGCTTTCAGTTTCGGGTTGTAACAGTTTGGCTTGATAACGGGTCGGGTTAGTAACGGTTTGCACAAATTCGGTTTAGTTCAGTTTCGGTTTGGAAAAAATTGGGTCGGGTCAGTTTTCGATTTCCAAAAAACGGGTTTTAAACAGTTCGGTTCCTTTTCGGATCGGTTTGAAACAGTCGGGTTTAACGGTTCGGGTCAGAAACTGACAGCTCTACTGCTGACATAAACTAGGTGATTACGCTCTGTATCTCAACGAGTCAACGTGGTGGTTCTTCCAATATATTTTCCAATCTTCTTTTATGCTATTGGTTATACAGTTTCCAAAATTGTATAGTTTTGGTGGGATCATCATGGGTCTAGTGAGTTTCATGATTTGTGAAAGATGTCTTCTTGTTTGATACTTTTATAGAAAAGCAATATCTTCATTCTAACTCAAGGATGTTTTTGCGCCTGTCTTTTGGTTAACACCCCAATAAATTGAAAAAGTATAAAGCTTGTTTTAATCTTTTCTACTATAAAGGAAGTTGGCATTGATTCATGTCATGGATATTAGATGTTAGAATTGTAATTCATTCTGTTGGAAGATGAAGGGTTTAATCTTCTGCTATGATTATCTTTCTGACTTGTATGTGTACACCCTGTCCTTGGCATCCGGTGGATTGTTACGATTTTAGTGTCTTATCAGTTGAAGGAACATTGCTCCTTGCTTATGTGCTGAAAACAATCGATGTTTGTCTGTTTTTTTTATGACAGCTAGCTATCCTTTACAAAATTCTATCATGTATGAAAATTGGTTGATTTTATATGGCTATGTTTTCGTATACTTTTTCACTGGTAGTTGGCAGTTAAATGAAGAAATTGTGCCTGAGTAGTGCTAGGTGCATTAAAGAGAGAACATGAGGAGCTTAGTTATATGTCTGACATTGCTAAAGGTTTGGTTGTTTCCCCAATCGTCAGGTTTAAAAGTTGTCATGGATGTTTATCTTATTAAGCTGCACGCTCTTTGTTGCTTCCTTTACTTGATGAATATCTAACATCAGTTGTTATAGCCTTATAGATGTTGCTTTCGTAAGTGAATTATACTTCATATTATCTTTACCTCGATATTTAGAATCTCTGAAGTAAACATCATTCATTCAGCTGATGTTTCCTTACCCTTTGGAAGGGAGGTTTTTAAGCAAGATATGGCCCTTTTCCATGCAATGAAATGAAATTGTGGTTCATCATATGCAAGATGACTTTTTGTTGGTCTATGTATTACGGCGCAATTGCTGCTGTTTATGAGTATCTGTATACCAGAAGCAGTTAGCTCACTTAGCTTGTGATTGTTGCGATGTAGGAGTGTATATGATCTGCACTATTTTCTTGCTATGCTTTAAGCTTTTTGCTTTTTAAACTCAATACTCAACCCCAGATTCTGCATTGAGCTCACTGAGCCTTGGGAGTTTACGCTTGGATGGATTCTTTCACTCTAATCAGCTGCTTGAGATCTAAGTGGGGCCGACTGGCAGGGGCGGAACTAGGGTGGGTTCAAGTGGGTTCATTGAACCCACTGATTTTTTGAAAAAAAATTTAAAATTTTTTTTTTTTTAAAAAAAAAAAAAAATCAAAATAGGTTTAAATAGAATATTTGTGTATTATATGGCAACAAGTAAAGTTGTAGCCCAGTGGTTATTTTTACCTCCCATCACACAAGAGTTTGTGGGTTCAAAACCCATAACTCACACTTTTTTTTTTTTAATTTTGTTTCCTGAGCACTGAGCTTTCCTGCTTCCAGAGTTCGCTTTCCTCTTCCTCATTCCCCCAAATTGCAAAACCCTAACTTCTTCCTCCAATCCTCCTTCTCTTAATCTCTTCCCGTTCTTCCTCCTTCTCTTCCCGGCGCAGCACGGCAGCAGAGTCAGCAGAACACGGCGGCAGCGGCAGGCCGGCAGCGCACCAGCCACTCACCCAGACCCAGCCTCACAGCCGTGTATGGTGTATCGGTGTATGTAGGGGTAAGTGAATTTGGGGATTTTTTTTTTTTTGCAAATGTAATTTACTTCTCAATTTGGGGATTTTTTTTGCTAAATCATTGAATACTTGAAAATTGAAATTCATATGCTAAATTCAATTGCTAATATACATTACGATTTACGAATTGCCAATGTTTTGTAAATTGCTGAAGTTTGGATATAATTATCTAATTTACTTCTCAAGTTCTCAATTTGGGGATTTTTTTGTATTTCGTATGCTATTTTCATATGCTATGCTATTTTCTGCCTTTCGTTTCTGCCAATTCATATGCTATTTTCTGTATTTCGTTTCTGCCTTCTAGTTTTCATAATTTCATTTGCTATTTCGTTGATATGGGTTTGATTGATGAATATTATAGATCTTAGAGATAATTTATTTACATTGTTATGTTTAATATATGCTAATTTTTAATTCAATCGTGAAAATTTGGCCTTTAATTATTCTGTGTTTGAAGCATGATTTTGAGTTAAGTGATGTTTGGCGAACACTCTTTGATAATTTTATTTGTATAATTTTGAGTTCAGTGATGGTTTTGTATTGCTGATTAATTATATATAAAAAATTGAAATTAATCCTGTGACATGAATCTACTACACAATTTAACTCTAACTAAGCTACATTGAATTGAACATTTTTATTGTCGGCACATAAGAATTCTGTCAAGCCATAGCTAACGACAGTAATCTGCTACAATAATCTAAGTGAGCAATCAGAATGAGAAAAGCTTCGATAGTGAAACGATAATATTTAGCTACTTGAACTTAATATCCCTATTTGGTTAGTTTGGCAACTTATCAAATGAGAAATAAATGTAAGGTGGGATGTTGATCCATGTATTGGGTTAAGTCCTTAAGCTCTAGCGATGCGTGAAAGGATACAATGAAATATCATGGCCATTATCATTATTTTTCCGTCATTAAGTTAATATGTGCTGATTGTTGGCCTCTTTGACTAGTTGAATCCATATTTTAACTCTATAACAATGATAGTATGTAGCTTATTCAGTTTAAATAGTATATGTGCAATGTAATGCTTACTTGCTAATTAGAATATTGTAGCTTTTTTTTTAATGTTAACTTGTAATTTATTTAATGTGTTGCTTCTCTGCCATTGTATTAGCTTGATCAGATTTTATCGGTTATAGCTTTTTTTTTTTTTTTTTTCATTTTTCTATGTGTAATCTATTTGTAATCCATAGTTTGAAATTATTTATGTACTGAATATTTAATTATTGTATTTTTATTCCTTTGTTAATTATGATTTCAAATTTCGGAAGTTTCGAACCCACACTTCGAAAATCCTGGTGACGCCACTGCCGACTGGTGGTGTCGAGCAGCCTGGTAGGGAAGCCACCACGAGCTGGTTAACGTAGTAGCCCTCAGATCTAAAGTTTGAATGACACGGTTCTTAAATTCCTAGTTGCCCATGCGATGGTGCAAGGCAAACAGAAAAACTAAGGAGCCTAGAAGGCAAATTGGCACCAAAATTTAGAGCATATACTCGAACGCTTTCATATGGACTTGTGAGAGTTTGGGACATGCTAGTCTGCTCTAGTTTTGTATGTAATTATGATGTTCCCATTGATGCTTTTGTAAATTTGTTGATGAAGTTTGTGATAATTAAAATAAAATGCAGTATTATAATGTGCATCCTACTCTTAAAAAGCAAATTGTAATGATTCAAAATAGGTAAACTTGTCAGAATATACCTTGTTTTTAAGTCAATTTGCAAATTTAATACCTTTAATTTTTTATTTTTTTTTTTCTGAAAACATAGTATCTTGAATCAAATTTTGTTTTAAAAATGACACCTTAAGTTTTCGGCATTTGACTTTCATCATTCTACCAATTTTGGTCACAATTGACCTTGTGAGAGCCGCCCAATGTTCAAATAGGAAATTTAAGTAAACTTACATATCATATTCATACGATAATCAAATGAACATTATGACCAATTGTAGACAAGAAGAAGTATGGTGTTAAGGTATGGGTAAGAGAAAGGGTTTCTATTAATGAAAAAGTCTATTACGCTATAAAACTACTTATTTTTATGTGAAAAAGTAGTAACTATTAATTGAGAGGTGGAGTTTTGAGAATAGAGTAAGGGTTTTACTCTTATATATTTTCTCTATTTTCTTTTAAACGCAACACATCTTTTTGACACGCAATTTGAGAAAGAGATTTAAGTAATGTAGACAAATATATTAATCAAAATTATTTATACACGTAGTACTTAACCTTGCTATAATCTTAGTATTGAAATTATTTTGATAAAGTAATTGTTTACCAAATCTAATCATCTCGTAAAAAGTGTTGCATTTAATAGAAAACGGAGAAAGTATGTTTAATCGCCTTCCCTTATGATTAAAGGTTATGCATTTATGTTACCTTTCAATACAAATGTAAACCAATGCAATGATAAATCAATAAAACTAGTCATACTAGCAAATAAATTTGTCAAATATAAAAAATCACAAAATACAAAATTATAGGCAAGTTTCATCAACATCAACATACTCAAAACATAATCATCTACGTTATTGAACATTCACATATTTTCCAATACTATATTTTAAGTCTCCTCCAACTAGTATCCTCTATGAAATCTTCAAAATGGATGCCAAATTGACAATAATCAAGGCAAAAAGCAACCACATACCCTCCAATAATAGTACAACCCCGAGAAATAAGGTAGAAAAATAAAAGTAGCAAAAATAAATAAATAAAAACCCAAAAATAAAAAAAAAATTGCAAAAATCCCAAATTGAAGTAGAAAGTGTGAGTGCCCTATTATGTGAGTAACTCACCGCCCCACCTAAAGTAGTCTTAGACCACCACCCGTCTTCTTCCTCCACCCCCTCTTCTCCTCCCCTTTGCCTTGGAAAAGTCTTTTTCTTTTCCTTTTTTTCTTCTTATTTTTATTATTATCTTTCATTTTTATCAATCAAGATTTGATCTTTCATCTTGTATTATCTTCAATCTTACAAATTTTAATTGTATTAATATCATTTGATAACCATATTAATTCAATCATTAATCTTTGTTTTTTTTTTTAAAAGGTTAGATCTCTGTTTCTATTTCTGCCCTTAATCTAACATCTAATTTCGCAATTTTTTCCTAAAAATAATTATTATTTTGTTGATTGTAGATGTATACAAAGAACCTATCTTTTTCAATCCCAAAACCATGTAAACATCTCTCAAATCTCAAGTTAAAACATGGGTTAAATTGTTATACCCACCTCAAAAATTACCTAAAAACAACCCTAAATGCTAAAAATCCAATCTTTTTTAGTCACAAAGATGATGCCCCCAGATGCAGTTTTTGTTCTGGGTCTAATAAGGGTAGATTTTACATTTGTTTAATTTGTTCAACAATTTCTTGTTTCTCAAATTCAGATTCACCAAATCATACCCATTTGCATTCTGACTCTAATAATGGCCATGAAATAGCTGTTGATCTTGACAGAGCAGAATTATATTGTTGTGTATGTTGTGATCAGGTGTATGATCCTGATTTTGACAGGGTTTTCATGTCTCAAAATTTCGAGGAAATTAAGAACACTCAATCAAAAATTAGTACTAGTACTAGTTCAATTAGTAGTAGTAATGGTTGTAATGGTAGTAGTTTAAGGAAAGTATCATTAGTTGAGTTGGATTTGATGAAATCAAAACAATTAGTTGTTTTGAGACGAGATCCGAGGTCAAAAATGGTGTTTCCTTTAGGATTAAGGGGTTTGAACAATTTGGGAAGTACTTGTTTTATGAATTCTGTGTTGCAAGCATTGCTTCATGCTCCTCCTTTGAGGAATTACTTCTTGAGTGACAGCCGCCATCGAAAATCTTGTAAGAAAAGGTCATCTGATCAGCTGTGTTTGCCTTGTGATATTGATGATCTTTTCACTGCTGTTTTCTCTGGTGAACGATCTCCTTATAGCCCTGCTCAATTTCTTCACAGGTATCCTCATTCATTCCAAGATTTGATGTTTATCTGCATTTTAATCATAATGTTTGAGTTTACTATATGCTAGTATATGTTATTACATGTTGTATACTTGAATAGTTTGTCATTTTGATTGAAATCTTGAGAAGTTGAAATGTGTGAGGATTTTGTGAATTGTGGGTGTTTTTGGATGAAGTATATGGATATCAATATATGGGAGATCATGTTGCATTGGATTGGGATGAGTGAAGGACAAAATCTTTGTGAGCAACTCGACTTGACTCATGGGATGGTTTCTTAGTCCGTGAAGACGCCGAGCTTATAGATTTGGAATTAAGCCTTTGATATTGTTGTTGTGGTGGATAGGAATATGGGGCAGCTTTTGCATAATTTTTTTAGTGATTGAGTTGAATCTTTGTTTCGAACTATGGTTTGGATTTTGGAATTAAGGCTTTGATATTGTCGTGGTGGTGATAGGAACATGGGGCAGCTTTGGGATGATTTATAGTAATTGGACTGTGTATCTTTGTTTAGAATTGTGGTTAAAATGGATAGTTTATTTTGACTGTTTGCTTGAATTGATGTGTGGTTTCTGCTGTTTCGGTTGAATTTGCATCTTTGGTGATTCCACCTGAGATAAAAACTTCTTTTTTGTCTTTACAGTTGGTGGTTGCACTCAGAAAATCATGCAACCTATGAGCAGCAGGATGCACATGAATTCTTTATATCAATTCTTGACCAAATACATGAGAAAGAATCCAAGAACTTGAAGCTGAATGGAGGTGGGTGTTAGTGTTAGATTTAGGTGTTTTGTCCGTCTTTGATTTGTAATTGTGGCACAACAATATCAAGAAAGCTTTAAGTTAAAGTGCAAGTTTAGAGCGATGAAATTTGTTCTGAAATGCAATCACTGTCCTTAACTGTATAATATGAGGCACAAAATTGTCTTCTGCTTCATGAGGGCCCAAAGAAATTTGAATGGAGCATATAATGGAATTTTTCTAAGCTGTTTATGTGATACTGTCTGTTCCCTAAAGGAAATTCATGTTTTCTCATTATATGGATGTTTGAAATAGTTTATTGGAATGTGTGTGTTGTTTCCCACACATTAGTATACTAATATCAGTTCAAATTGCTATAAATATAGGGAAAACAGGGAAAGATAGATTCTTTGTTTCATTGGAAATGACTAATGCTATGAATGTTAAATGTGCTTGAACTTTAGAATTCTACAGTAACTGAAAGAATAAATTACTTCCTATTTTCCATATAAATATAAGCTTTTCAGTTGGGTTTCAAAACCTCTAAGATCAAACTTTTAGCATCGTATAGGTCTTTTATAATGCTAGTTATACTTGTACTTTCACATTATTAGTCAAGCTTATTATTACAAATTGATGATAAGAGTTGCAGGACTTCGGAAAGATTGGTCAAATAAGTACTTTTGGAAGTTGAAATGTGTGAAGTAGTTAGTGCTAATGAACCAACTATTATATTTAATGATCCCTCTTCTAACACAATGAATATTCTTTGTCACAGATGTAAGGGACTGTGAGTGCATTGCACATAGGGTATTTTCCGGCCTTCTGCGTTCAGATTTGTCTTGCACTGTATGTGGGACCACTTCAACTACTTATGATCCTTTTATCGACATATCTCTTGACTTGGATAGCCAAACAACCCATGCAAGTAGCAGTGACAACATGACAACGCTATCAAGTTGCCTGGGTCATTTTACAAGGTCTGAGAAGCTGGGATCTGATCAGAAGCTTCTTTGCGGAAATTGTCAAGAAAGGCATGAATCATTGAAACAGTTGTCATTCAGACAGCTGCCCTTGGTTCTCTGCTTACATATTAAAAGGTTTGAGCATTCCCATGTCCGAAAAGTTTCCAAGAAGATTGACCAATACGTACAGTTTCCCTTCTCTTTGGATATGTCCCCATATATGTCATCGTCTATAGTCAGAAGTAGGCATGGGAATAGAATGTTTGCTCTTGAAGATGATGAAGCTGATGTAGTTACAGACTATGAGATTTTTGCTGTAGTAACACATTCGGGGATGCTTGAATCTGGGCACTATGTCACTTTTCTACGTTTGCATAACCAGTGGTATAAATGCGATGATGCATGGATATTAGAGGTTGATGAAGCGACTGTTAGAGCTTCTCAGTGCTATATGATATTCTATTTGCAGAAAATGCTGTATCACAAGACGAGTGATGACTTGATCTGCTCGCCCATTTCTCCTAGAAGAGATGCATTTCTTCCTATAGCAGGTTGTTGCTGATTGATGATGATTGTGTATTCTGCTGGATTTAAGAGGCTTTTAAAATGCCATATTGACCCTACAGAGGTCGCATACAAGCTGCCAATTAAAAGAAGTCATCTGCAAAGATTCGGAAATGACCTCATCTTTGCATGAACTGCCTGTCTGGTGCATGCTTGAGATATGCAGGACCCAAGTGAAATCTGGCTGATCTTTGATTTGAGAGGTTCCTGAATAACCTATTTGAAATGGAGCTCATGAGGTACACTGCAGAGTAAAATGTCGATGAAGCCATCGCTTCTAATTGTTACAGGCACCAGAAGCTTCAATGTGTTTCTTAGTTTTCATATGCTGCTAATAGAAAACTGCAGCAACAGAGTTGGAGGGTGTGATATCATGCTCATCGAAATATGAGATACCGAAAGGCTCCAACTTAAAACATTTGCAGAAAATCTTGGTAAGGAGATTCCAGGAAAAAAAAAAAAAACAAAATATTCTTGTATAGAATAAGCGGACAATTATGTTTAGCTTGATTTTTCTCATATTTTCTTCATTTTGTAATGACCTAGAATTTTTTTGGTGGTCAATGTTAACTTCTTCGAACCATAGAGATTTTTTTTTACTCTTTTCATTCATGTATTTCTTTGCTAATTGCAATTGTGAAATTATGAATTCGATAGGCATGTCGCCGTTAACTGTTATGAAATGGCTAATATCATGAAAATTCTGTACTGAGTGTTTCTTTTCAACTTACTTTGTTGAAGTTTATTTGCATAATCTGCTATACCAAGAATTAGATCATATGGTGTGATTTAACTTGGTTGTTTTGCTTATGCCATTCATTTTATATTACTGTATAAGACTTGGTCTGTTTGCCTTTTATGCAGAAAGTCTTTCTACTCTGTAGTAGTTGTACCTATGATAAAAGACTATGTATTCGGGCATTAAAAGACTAAAATTTGAATGGTTAAACTGAGACTTGGGATCAACTCATCATATTAGATTAATCCTAATTTGGGTTAGCTAAGATTTAGCATGATTTTAGGTTTGGAAAATTTAATATAAACAGACAACTCTTTAGGCGGTTCTCCCATATTGGACTAACCTTTAAATCTGCCCATATTAGACACAAGTTTAACATTTTTCTCCCAAAATAGACCAAACAGGTTACCTTACCTGTTATACCAGGTAAAATTCCACTTGTCATTAAATCATTGGTCAGTTTATTTATTTTTTTAATTTTTTAATTTTGATAATTTAAAAAAAAAAAAAAACCCAAAACCACCCTTTCCCACCACGGCTAGCCCCTTTCCCTACCAGTGGCCAACCAATTCCCTCGGCGTCGGCGACCTTCAAAGCCACCAGAATTATTGCCACCTACACCTTAACCTTCACAACCACCACTTCCACCCTCTACACCACCACCTATGTACGCCACCAGCAACAGCCACCACATAAACCACCATACCAACAACCAAAACCACCGAAATCCCCATACCTACCAACCAAACCACCAAACCAACCCACCCAAATTAAAACATCGAAACCACCATACCAAACCACCGTAAGCAGCACCTCAACACACTAAAAACCCACGCAACTCCGATCCCCTGCTCCTGCACCTAAACAAAGCAGCCCGCAGTCCGCACCAACCACCTAACACCACCGCCCAACTGTCCTACCTCTTACCTTCAATTATTACTTCATCAAAATCAGCCACCAAACGCTGCACTTCACCCTCACCGCCACAAATCCGGCTAACATATCAACCCGCATCACCTATCAGCCCGCATCAAACTTCAGCGATTTTGGGTGGTTTCAGCGATTTTGGGTGGGGGAAAGAGGAGGAAAAGGAGGGGGGTAGGGTCATCGGCGCTTGGGGTGGAATGGGAGCCAGACGCCAACAGGGGTATGGAGGGGGGAGTGGCTGGCAGTGGGTTGGGAAGGAGGGCTGCGGTGGTTTGAGTTATATTTTTGTTTTTTTTTTTTTTTGTTTTGTTTTGTTAATCTTTTAATTTAAAAAGATAATAAAATACTAATAAAATAAAAAAAATGATCGGTTGTTCAAGTCACAAGTCATCTTGGTTTAATATGGGAGAAAAATACAAACTTGTGTCTAATAGGGGCAGATTTAAAAGTTAGTCCAATATGGGAGAACCGCCCAAAGGTTTGTCTATTTATGTTAAATTTTCCTTTAGGTTTCATAACTTCTATCAATTGGTTTTCGGTATATTTATGATTGAGACTACACTTGGTAGAGAGGACCCGTATTCGATCGCCTGATTTTTGAATCCGGATTAGCCCAAAGGCTATACCAAAAAGGTTTCATAAGTGATTTTTTTACCAAAAATTAAGAGCTGAACTGAACTGAACTCAACTGATTAGAGCTGAACTGAACTGAAATGAAAATAAGTAAATATAAACAGGCCCTAAGTCAGAAGATACCCTTCATTTCGTACTTGTATATTAGTAATATTCTAATCACTATTAGCGTCATTAGCGCGAAAGTTGGTCCCTTTATTGTTGACGTCTCTTTCCGTATATTATAAGGTCCGTTTATTTATTAATAAATCCCCAGTTCTTCTCTCTCTCCTCTTTTGCTGCCCAGTTTATGCAAAAGATAAAGAGAGTGTGGAAATAAATAATCAAAAAAGGCTAACAATTGCAGCAATTTCTTCTCTCAGAAATTACAAGAAACGTTTCTAGTTTCTGGGATTTATCTGTTAGTTTCTATTCTACTCTCTTGCTACTTTTTTTTTTCTCACATTTTAATTCTAGCTTTTATGTGATTTTTTTGCTTTAATTTTGTATTTTTGCTGAATTTTTTATTTTTAATATGTTGATCATTTATTTATTTCTTTTTGGTTGTTTAAATTAATGGGTTCTGAATCATTTCTGGATTACATGCGCAAATTATTTAAATTGTTGCTTGGAATTATTATAAAGTTTAGATTGGCAGAAAAGGTAGAGAGCTTTTTGCTGTGCAAAATTGTAAAGTAATTTTTACTCTTGTTTATTAAAATGTGTGATAAAGATAAGAGATTAGATCCCAAGGATCAAGATTAATTAGTGTTTTATGCCCCTAACTAAGCACATAATCTATTGTAGGTTCCACTAATGGCAATCTAGAAAGTTCTAGATGTGTATAAAGCCCTTTCAAAACTTCATGTGATACCTTGAGAGTTGCCTAGTTGATTTAATGTCAATTGTACTTAAGGTTATAAGGACAAGAGGTGGGGTTATGTTGTACATATTCAAGATGTGGGATTTTGCTATTTCGTCGAGGTAGCTTAGTTGGTAAAGTCTTTAGAAAGCGGGGTCAAAAGCCGGGTTTGAAACTCTTTTCTAAAATGTCGCCTTTCTGGATCATGAATGGTCATAAGACAAATTCATTAAGCAGATTGTGTGTGGGAGGATGGAGTTATGGTCAATTGCCCAATATGTGAGCCAATGGATTAGGGATTACTCTTGTTTTGCACATTGGCCCAATGAGATGATATATATGGTCAAGGGATCTATTGGGTTGAAAAAGCTATTAGGATATACTAATAGGCGTAATAGCTATTGGGCAGGATATACTAATAATGTAACATCTCAGTGAAGGTAACATTTTGTTCTTCTGTTCCATCTTTCTCTAGTTTGTAATTTGAATGTAAAACTTGATTTTTTATTCCTGAATTACCAAATTTATGCATTGTATCGTGCCGTGTGTGAGCACTAATTTGGGGATAATATTCTGCACAAGGCTCTCCTGTATACTTGATTTTGGCACATTCTTGGTGGTTGAACACAGTTTTTTTTTGTTTTTGTGCTCAAGTGTTCTGTGTTTGAAGTACAGAAGACGGATTTTTTTCATTTTAGTTTTAAATTCATTTGCATGAGATGCTAATATTTCCTTTTAGTTATCCGCTTATTCTTCTTTATTTCTAACTGATTTGGCTTGTATGGATTTTTTTTTGGATTGCATACTAACCTACTAGGTAATTGGTTTTGTCAGAAACTAATTTTCAGAAACGTCCCTGGATTTGTATTTATCATGCACACAGGCTTCAATTTTTTTCCTTTTGAAATAGAAGTGTGGGAGAGGGGGTGGGGGGATGTGGTGGGGGTTAGTTTAAGAGTTTTTTTTTTTTTACCTTTGTCGATTCTTATATTAGGGTATACTGATAAGGCTGTAATTTGTTATCTTTGCTAAACATTATTAATTGTGGTTGGCTTTGCATTGATTCTTGTATTCTTGATGTATTGTTTAAGTAGGAAGTCACTTTAGCCTACCTAGAGAATTTATCCTTTGAGGATCACTTTTGGCAAGCCCCACCGAAATTGAGACTCTTGTTCTTGATGATGTTTTTAAGATGAATAAATCTCAGTAACGATGTTCTTGAATGTCAAAGATATAGGGACGAAGATGTTACATCACTGGGTTGTCTATGTGGTTCTTGCTGATTTTCCTGCTCAAGGGGGTATACTTTTATCCTAGATTCCAAGACGTGGACAAGCCTTCATTTGACTAAAGGGTTAAATGGAAGCTGCTGAGGTTGAGTGTATAAAATTATAATGAAAATACAGTTCCAAGCATTAGTTTGCTGTATTATGGTGCATACTTGACTTTTACACCTGTTCCTGAGGAGAGGCAGAGCAGTCGTGTTTTAGAGTGTAAGGTATTAGTTGAAGCCATAGAGAAATGAGTTGTCATGAATAACTTGCTTAAATTTTCAGATTGACTTGATGATTGCATTGCATAAAATTTCTTTTCTTTAATGTCGTAGAAACTAAGTTAAAACAGTTTAGGTTTTTCAAATTTAGTTTACCGACATATGATCAATTTGTGTTGACCAAAGAGTGTGGAAATGATGGATACTCTAAATCCCTAATCCTGTATTGGTTTCCTTTGTTCTGCAGGAATATTACTGAAGATTTGGTAGCTATGTCAAAAAGTGTGCCAGTGTTTAAGATCCCAGATCACCAGGTTGCCGGACACCAGGCTCTTAACGGACAGCTTGGCCCACTTGTAGACGAATCAGGCTTATTCTACAAGCCCCTTAAGGGTGATCGGGGCTTAAGAGAGGCTGATTTCTACAAGACATTTTTAGCTGATGTCAGAGTGCCTGACCACATCCGGAAATTCTTCCCCAAATCTTTTGGCACCCAGACTCTTGAGGCTTCTGATAAATCTGGGCCCCTTCCTCACCTTGTTATGGAAAACTTAATGTCAAAATATGCAAATCCCTCCATCATTGATTTTAAGATTGGTTCTCGAACTTGGTACCCTGAAGCCACGGATGAGTACATTGACAAATGTTTCAAAAAAGACAGAGAAACCTCTAGCCTTTATTTGGGTTTCAGGGTATCAGGGATGCAAATCTACGAGAATCAAGATTTAGGGTATTGGAAGCCTGATCGAAAGCTGACCATAACTTATACAGCTGACGATGTCAAGTTAATTTTGAAGAAGTTTGTCTCGTCAAACCAAGCATCAGATTTCAAAAAAGAACCGGACTGTAAATTTGCTTCGACTGTCTATGGTGGTTCTTCTGGCATTTTGGCACAGTTGCAGGAGCTAAAGTCATGGTTCGAGGAGCAAACAATTTACCACTTCTATTCGAGCTCAGTTTTGATTGTTTTTGACAAGGGATCACTGCTGGAAGGTAAAAAGGCGGTTCCTACAATCAAGCTTGTTGATTTTGCTCATGTTGTTGAAGGCAACGGCGTTCTTGATCATAACTTCTTAGGCGGGCTCTGCTCACTGATCAAATTCATCTCCGACACCAATAAAGATTGCTAGTAGAACGGAGCCTAGATTTTCACCACCCTCTATTGAATCCCTGACTTGAATCTTTTGGCAATTGTTTTGATGCTCAAACACACACTCTTTACTTGCTGCTTTTTTACAGTTAGTTTTTTAGGCATGATTTGAGACGTTTTTATCTCAAGCTCCGAGTATGAGAAATAATAAAATTATACTTTTTATTACAGCTCACTTTTTATATTCGTATTTTATTCCTTTTACCATAAATGATGTAATGATTGATGAGGTATTTTCCAAAAAATTTAAATATCTATATTTCCATATAACTACAAATTGGGATAATATCTACAAATAAGTTTATTTAAATACTAGTTTTGTGCCCCGTGCGATGCCCGGGTTGTTTATGGAATTTTAAGATAGAATTATATTATAATTCAATTTAATTGATTGAAAATATAATTCTAAATTAACTTTTTTTTTTTTCTACAAAGTCTATTTATATTTAGACAACGTGGTACGACACTTGGCGAAAAGTTAAAATGCTATACGATGTTGTCTTGTGGCCTAATTATAAGTTTATTATTTGGTATTTTATCGAAAATAAAACTCTAAACTAACCATCTTATTCTAAAATTCTATCCTAATTTGATTGAAAAAAGAAATTTTAACTAATTTTTTTATCTTATGAATCTATTTAAATCTATCTAAGGTGGCGCGACACTTGACGAAAAGTTAGAATGCCAAGTGTGCACACTGTATTCTTGATGTAAATATTCTTAGTGATTTTATGGTAATTTGACAGTGTATAGGATTAGGAAAATTTAGAGTTCTATAGGCTATATATACTTGTCAAGATCATCAATACTGTACAATTTAAGATTTGCCTCATAAATATTTTACATACAAATACTCAATACAATCGATCATACCTCATAAATATTTTACATATACTCAATACAATCATATCATGGATGTGTCCGATCTGAGTGACAATTTAGAAAAGTTACAAAATATTGAAGACAAAATTGTTAAGGAATACAATTTTATTAGGGAATGTTACCGCTTCAAGTTCCCTGAACTTGAAAATCTAATTCATCACCCGGTTGAATATGTTCGTCTTGTCAAGATGATCGGCAATGAAACTGATATGGATCGAGTGTCACATCTCAACGACGTCCTGTCTTCTGCCATGATCATGGTTGTTTCAGTGACAGCTTCAACCACCTGTGGAACGCCGCTTCCAGAGGATATTTTAAAGAGGACTCTTGAGGCTTGTGATCGTGTTATTGAGCTTGATTCAATAAGAATAAAATACCTCAAGTTTGTTGAGAGTCGGATGTTAGATATTGCACCTAATGTTTCCGCTCTGGTTGGGAGTGCCACTGTGGCTAAACTCATTGCTGATGCTGGTGGTCTAGTCGAGTTAGCTAATCTGCCAGCTTGTAATGTTAAACTTGTTGGGGCTCAAAAGAAAAATTTAGCAGGTTTTTCAAGTGATCAGCTTCGTATTGGTTATATTGAACAAACAGAAGTGTTTCACAGTACACTAGGTGATGGGTTGGGAGTAGGGTATGGTATGTTTGGTCAAGATGGATGTGGGAAGTTACGCGTTTCTGCTACTCCAACCAGGCTTAAACTTTCCAAGACGTACAAAAGCAAGTTAGCATCCTAAGCTAGCTTCTATGTTTCGAGGCATTCAACTTCAAAATCAACTCTGCAGTGGGATGCAGAGTATATACGGAGTACTACTTCATGAAAATAGCCCTATGTATGTATTAATATTGATTTCTGGTTTCTCAAATATCAATTTAATGGCATAGTTAATTACATTTGCATTGTGTTTTACAATTAGTATTGCTTGTATGAAAACCATGATTTCTTATACAAATTAAAATTATCTTAACTATATATTTTTAAAAGAGAATTCAACACTTGAGTTGCAAGCCATAGTTGCTGTTGATCCTTGTAAATTCTTGATTCGCTACCTAGCATATTACTTACTACCTAGAACAAACTAACCACGCTTTCATTAATATTTGTTGGCTAATTATGAATTGACTCTCAAGGACTGTGATGTCTCTCAAGGAGTGCTAATGTCTCTCCAGCTTCGAGTGGAAATACTTGACAAGGATTTGAAGGTTGTCAACACTAAGTTGAAGGCTGTTAAAACTATTATTGGCTGATCTGACCTCCTTTAGTCTTTTACTAGTAGTTACAGAATGTTGTTTTGCCCTAGTGGATTGTTGTTCATATCTATCTAATCAATTATGCCTATTATGGGGTATTGGAAATAACTTAATGGTAAGTTGGTAACTATGTACCCCGTAATTCCTTAGTGTTATGTACCTATTGTGTTATATTTTACTCGTTTATGTGACCTTAATAATGTTACAGTTTACTCGTTTATGTGACCTTAATACTAGTATGATGCATGCTCCTTGCTTGAATGATGTAGATTTGTGGACTCTGGGACTTACTTGGACAATATGTTCTTTGGGTGCAAAAGTTGTATGTCATGTAAGTTCATTAAAAGGATAACTTCTGACCAACTTGAGTTCTTGATGTAGATTAGATTGAAACTCGTTAAGTTCTCCAGTGAAATAGGTGAATGTTACTTAATCTTACGCTATGATGAAAATGGAACTTAGGGGGGTGTTTGGTTTGTGCAAAGGAAAGGAATCAAGATAGGGATTAAAGGAGAAAGGAGAGAAAATAAATTAAGAAAGATCAAATTTTGAACACTAGTATTAACACACTAGATTAGCCATTAACACACAAAGTTGAATATTACTAGTAATAAATTATACATTGAGATGATTCTAATAAACACTTTTTTTTTTTTTTTTTTTTTTTTGGAATGAATCAATAACATTAATCAATACTACTTCGTATGTGATCTTAGACTTGCAGGGAATATAAATGATAAAAATAAATTAAGAAAGATTAGATTCCGGACTCTAGTATTAACATATATACAAGATTTTTTTTTTTTTTTTTTTTTTGAAGCAACATATATACAAGATTAGCTATTAAGAAGGTAATAACACACAAAGTTGATTTATATTCAAAGATTGCACGTAATAAAACAAAGTGGGCCTAAATTAGTCAACTCACAAAACCTTGAAATCAAGCGACTCTTCAACCACTACTATCAAGTTATTATTGTTTTTTGTCTGCTCTAAATTTCGTTAATTGCTGTTAATTTGTTTGATTATGAAATGATCCTAAACCAAAAACTTTATAAAATTATATACTGCATTTTGCAATACCCATGATTTTATAAAAAATAAAAAAAATACCCATGTGAGGATATTCACCTGCATCGAAGTTGAAGTCAAATTAATTCAAGTTAAATAAAGGAATTATGCATTTGCTCAGATCCCAAATTTCAAATTTTTTGTTGGTATAAATAAATTGATGCAAATTATTCACTGGTCAGTTGCTCAGTTCATCTTTTTGAATTTATTGAGTTCAGATTTATTTGAGCTTTTTTTTTATTTTATTTTTAATTATTTGGCTAATAATGCTCAATTTTTTAATTCCCAGATGAAAAAGCACTGATTTTTGAGCTAGCTGGTGAATTTTCTGAGCTGAAGTAAGGAAGAAATTATCACCCAGATTGTGATTTGTGAGATGTTTGTTTGACTTTTTTTATCTTTAGTTTCAGAAAATTTCACTGTTAGTTAGTTGGTGATTAACTAGTGTTGACATTTGAGATTTTGTTAGTAAATCATGGTTGAAGAAGAAAACCCAGAAACTATGTTGAAAGAAATGGAGGAAGAAGATGATAAAAATGTGCCCAAATTTGGGTTTTGGGATTATATATGGGGACCATTGAATTGGCTCAAAATGCTTGCAAAAGAGATGCATTGGAGTTTTGTGTTTGGGGTGGTGATTGTGTATGGATTTAGTCAGGGTTTGGGTGGAGCCCTAAATCGTGTCGGTACCGAGTATTACATGAAGGATGTGCAGAAATTGCAGCCTTCAGAGGCACAGATTTATCAGGGGTTTACTGCAATTCCTTGGATGGTTAAACCCATTTGGGGTCTAATGACAGATGTGGTTCCTGTTCTAGGATATCATAGAAGGCCTTACTTCATATTTGCAGGTAAATTCTGATCAAATTTAAGCATGGTTATTTGGCTTGATATGTTGTGTATATGAATATGGTTAATATTTCTGCTTTGATTGTGAATTTTTGATAGTCAAATTGACTACTAAATATCGGTTTTTGAACTATGTGATGAAGTTTCAGTGTTGTTTGCTGTTTCTTCTGGAGATGCTGTGTGCATATAGCTAAGTTTTATTTTAGAAAGTATATTTGACAGGGTAGTAGATTATGAAGACAGTGATGAAGTAATGAATTAATGATGATTCCTCTTAAGGACAAAACAACCTTTTAGAAGCTGTTAGAATATTCCCTGATTCCTTAATTTCGTTAGCTTAGTATGACATTCCACTTCTTGTACCCCACTTGCAGTGCCGCGCTTGTGTGAGAGGTCCCAGTTAAGAAATAGCCTATGTTCTAAGGATGATTGAAGATAGTATTAGTGAAATATTATACGTAGTACAAAGGAAAGTGGATAACTAAGTGGAGTTTTTTTTATTTATATAAAGTAAAATGGACAACAAAGTGGAATCTCCAACATAAAGCTGAAGAAATAAATTGAAGTGGAACTGTGATAGTTGTCATGTAGTAGACTTTTTATTCTTTGAGGGTGTTAATTTTTAAGGATATCATTCATTAAGAGATGCTAAACACTATGTTAAAAGTGCATCCCGGTGATACATTTTATAGAGACTCAAAGCTTCTTGAAGTCTTATTGAGCTTTTTGATCTGTTCAGAGATTACTATTCCACTTCTAGCTGGCTTCAGTTGCTGTGACGCAGAGGGTTTACCTCTTTGATTTCCTTCAGAGTCACAGGACTGATCATTTACCATGAATTTATTGGATTGGTTAGGGAGAATCCTGGGATTCTGTAATCCATATGCATATTAGATGTATATTGCCTACCAAAATTTACCTTTCTTCTCTTGTTTCCAAGTACCCAGATACCAGTATAGATGCTAAATTCCCTTGGGTGTGTTGAGGGGAGAATTTGGATGTATGTATTAGGTAACTATTGCAAAAAGGCTTTTGTAGCCTTATGGCCCTTAGCTTACAACTTTTAAGGGTCTTTCCTGTATAGCATTGAGCGTTCTGTGAGCGGGTGAGACATATGGTAATCTGTTGTAATCAGAAGTTGAAAATTGTTCTTTAGAGAGTTTCAGCCTTTTCAAATTCAAGGGTTGGGGAGAAAAGGGGCATCTACCCCTTTCATCAAATCCAAGAAAAACTAATAGAACCACCTTTGTTTCCTTTGTCTCTTCTGGAATTTTGGATTATCTATCAAACATGATTTTATGGCTGCAAAAATCTCAGGGATTGATTAAACTATTTCTCCAACTTTTTATTGTTCATGATTTCAAGTCCGTAAATTACAGTTGTCCTGCACCTATCCTTAAATATCTTACAACGTAACTACGTAACGCCCTTTTTCACCCAAATTTCAACATGCAAGTGTACGTGTGTGATCACATGTTCCACTGCATGTTTTAACTGATTTTTCTGTGTTGGCTTCAGGTATCCTTGGTATTGTGCCCATGTTGTACTTATCTTTGCACCAGCAGATGCATATCTTCTTCGCAGTGCTTTCTTTAACAATAGGGAGTACTGGGGCAGCTATAGCAGATGTGACTGTTGATGCATGTGTAGCACAGAACTCCAATAAGCATCAGCATCTTGCTCCTGACATGCAAAGCTTATGTTCCTTGAGCTCTTCCATTGGATCACTCCTGGGATTCTTTCTCAGTGGTCTCTTGGTTCACCTCATTGGCCCACAGGTGGAATTCCTTACTTCATGATATACTTTCTTTGCATACATAGAATAAAAAAAACAAAGCACTTTCATGTTTGATACATGAGTTCATGTGAGATTTTCCCTATTTTGAACGAAAGGGGGTCTTTGGATTGCTGGCGATCCCAGCAGCACTTATATGTCTAGTGGGAATCACACTTCAAGAGCCTCAAACGGTGAACTTCTCTTACAAACAGGTAGCTCACTTTTCTGTCTTTGTCCAATAGGCTTTTGTATCATATTAGTGCAAACGCTGTAGTAATCTCTTTTTGAATCAGGTTGGCCAGAAGTTCCTTGTTGCAACCAAAGCTATGACAGACACACTGAAATTGCCAGATGTATGGCGGCCATGTCTATATCTGTACCTCAGCAATGCTACGAGTCTCAATATCTATGATGGAATGTTTTATTGGTATACTGATTCAGATGCAGGCCCTAATTTTTCTCAGGTATGATTGGAACATTTAACGGTTGATTATGAATATGGCTACATGGTAATCACTTGTGCTTTTGGTCATACACAATAAATATTCATGAATGGGTACGGTTTAAAGGGTAACTTGATGAAAATTAATTTTAAACCCAGGTCTAGTTCAACCTCTGTAGACTTTACAAATTAGAAAAAGAGATATCCTTTGATTTTTATATAAAATGCCCACTCTAAGCATTGCTGTTAAGAATCTTAGGCATCATTCGAGTGAGTAATGGATGTGGCTGTTCTCTTATTCTTACAGAATACCCCTTGCGATTTTGATTACTTTTTCTTATTTACCTTAGTTTTAGGCCTTTTAGCCTTCATTCTTGTCACCTGAATTCCCCTTATATGAATCTATTGGAATGTAATTAAGTTGTAAACTGAAGTCGGTAGACATTATGTAAATATTCTGGATACGTTGGTGAGAACAGAGGCTTAGTATTATATTTCTTTCCTTCTCCCAAATTTTGCAGGAATTTGTTGGCTATATTCTCTCCATTGGTGCAGCTGGTGCCATACTGGGATCACTATTATACCAGTACGCCTTGAAAGATCACCAATTTCGGGATCTATGTTTCTGGAGTCAGCTTTTATTAGGTCTATCAGGGATGCTTGATTTGATGTTGGTTTTACGATTGAACTTGAAACTTGGCATACCAGATCATATCTTTGCAGTGCTCGATGAATGCGCATTCCAGTTTCTTGGGAGACTCAAATGGATGCCGCTTCTTGTTCTCAGTTCAAAGCTTTGTCCTTCAGGAATAGAAGGCACCTTCTTTGCTCTAATCATGTCAATTGGTAACATTGGTACATTCTCTTCGTCATGGTTCGGAGGTATCTTACTTCATTTTCTGAATATCACAAGAACAGGTTTTGACAATCTTTGGGTTGCCATTTTGATCCGTAGCATAGCTAGAATCTCTCCACTCTTGGTCATATTTTTAGTACCGAGGACTGATCCTACCTCTTCTATTCTTCCATCTAAAGCCTCAAGTACAGAATCTGCAGAAACTCCGGATAGCAAAATTGAGCTAGTATCTCTCATGACCAGCGTTGATAGAAGCTGACATTTTGCAGTCCATTATGTTGGAGATTTAGGGGATAATTTGTCTAGATAGATACGTGTATTGGTTTTAGGGAACTTAGCTTCAGAGCAGCAGGACTCTATTTCATCTTCGGTGCCATTGCTGGAGTGAAATAGGTTCTAGTATTCCTTCTCTAGCAATACTAGTTACCTGCATTTTGATTCTTTTATACCTAAGAAATCATTCTACAAATTCTTTCACAATGAAAGATATCTATTGTAATTGAAGTTTCGGAAAGAGTTACATATTGATTGCAAACAGATTTTTGTAACAGGAGTAAAGATTAGTGAAAAAAAATGATATACAAGCGAGTATTTTCACAAATCAGTTCACGACCTCACTTCAACGCTAGTGTGTAGATTTTTGAGGATGATTATGAGATTTCTTGGACTTCTTGAGACATCTAATGAACTGTATTCTTCTGTGCTTTAGGTGGAGCAATAACTGTTTTGGTGTATGGGAAGAAACTGGAGTAAATACATATTGATATCCTATATCAACCAACAGCGTTGATATAAGGGCATTTCTGACTTATCACTCATTAAAGTGAGGACAAAACTGGAAACAATTCTACAATGGTTTTCTAATTTATTAATCAATACACTACAGGAAATTGTTATTGCCCAACTCTAACTCAGCAAATACTTGACACGTTTGATATTTATTAAGGACTTTCTGTAAGAGCTGTGACGATGATACAGAGCAAGAGTGAGCACGAGTGGAGGTGATGGCGTTAATCTCTCTCCTCATCCATCTGGTATCTCAACAAAAAGTGGAGGTGATGGCGTTAATCTCTCCGTCAACAATGTCCCGTTACAAGATTTAATTACGGGGTCCACATCATCATCCCAACACTGAGCATGTGGAATTCAGCAAAAAGTTCCCAACATATTGTATATAGGCTCTCGGTCTTTGCCACTCGGCCAAGATCTCATCGTTGTGAAGAGTGTAAGTTGTATGTGATTATGAAATTATCTTGTTGAGGTATGAACAGCAAGACCAGAAATTGAATTAAATTGTTATCTAATCAATGTAAAACTAGTGTAGTATACGCTGTATATCTTATCATAATCACGAGTCTCACGACATATAGGAGAATTTTAGATTTTCATTATATTTTTGGGTCATTCAATCACAGGCTAATACCAAAAATGGCATAAAAAAACAGTCGGCCAGGTGGATTTATAAAAACTGCTAGATCTTATGCAATCATAACTGTAATTCCATATCTAATTCAACATCCTAAGGTTAATAAGTACATTTCACATTACATACTTTGATTACTTTCTGAACTTTGTATAAACACTGTTCTTACAGATAAATTGGCTTCTACTGCAAATATAATCTGCAGTGATTCAGTCACCAGAAATCAATTGCAGTTCATTCCGTGACTCATCGTGCCAATTTTTTGAGTCGTTGGAGTGTCTTCTGCTTGATCCACTGCCTATCATACGGCAAGTAACCTTGTATGGAATGCTCATAACTACAGAAACAAAGACAGCAATAATCAGACCAATCAAGCAACCAGGAGAGAATTAAAATCATGAACAGAACAGAAGTAATCCAGGAAAACTACAAAGACTTAACATAAAATTATGCTACAAATTTTGCAAAATCAGATAAACAAATGAACAACAAAATTACTCATGTTTGAAATGAGTATCAAAAATCTTAATGATTTCAGAGCTTAGATAAGTGGTTCCTCTACTTTTCCATGTCTAAAGGAAATAAGGAGCAAGATAAATTCCAGCTATATCCCTATATGATAGGCCAGGCAAAAAACTTCAACCATATAGGACATGAAAATCAAAGAAGATGAAAATCATAATAATTAGCTAACGCTAATCGACAATTTCAGTTGATAATATACAATCAAATTAATAGAATTAGGAGGAGGGACCTACACCAATGCACTCAAATCAGCAAGCCCATCGATGAAATTGTATAAATCACCAATGTCATAACTGATGTTTCTGAGGGCTGGATTTATCTCCTTCAGCTTCCTTTCATACAATGCACAGATACCTGTACGTAAAGCATGCAAGACTGCATAAGCAAATATGATAAATAAATAAAGAAAAAAAACAAGTAAAATCAGGGCTACAGACTAATCACTCAACAGGTATATTAAGATACTACAGTCATTCATCCCACAAAAGATAACTAAGGTCAAGAGGAGCTATTGGAGTTGGATACACTGTTGTACTTTTATGGCTAGGCCCATTGCTTGCGCAGATGCTCCAAACATTTGCTTACCACATGATGTCAGTGGCATGTTGAACTCTTCCTAGAAGGTGGCTGCCACTATTACGCCTGATGTTCCAAATTCCCTGTCAGACTCTTGGTTTCACAATTTGTTATAAATCTTTATGGCTTGCTGGCCCTAGATTACACACCATTCATACATATTTTGCAATAATTTATTGTCTAAGAAAAGTTAATAATATTTCATTTAATAATCCTAAGGTAAAAATACTATAGATTGCAGGTGTTGAGAAAAAAAAGTATTATATACTTGTAATCAGTGCTATAGTGTATCAGCAAACAATTACTAACAAATAACCGAAAATAACATATTCATTTACAACTTAATTTTAAATTTTATTAAGGTGGCTTGTCCGGCAAAGACTCTACAAGTCTACGTTTAAATAGATTATGATAAGGTTGACCTCTGCTGCTTACGTTGATATGGATCAGCACAGAGTTGTAGATCTTTCAGGCATGATTCTTTACCATAAGTTTTATCCTCATGAAATTATTAAAGCTTCTTCCACCAATAATCAAACAGCTCATACAAAAAAGATCCAAACTTCTATACTAAACTCTGTAATTTTGTAATAGCAACAAAATTTGAAAACCTACCATCCATTGCTTGACTTATTGACTCATAATCCATAAATGTTCGAGTTGATCTGTTCTGTGATGTCTGCATTAGGATAATTGTATGCCTATTGTCCTGCAGAAATGAAAATAGGCTCCAGTAAGCATCCCAAAGGGTCAGGAAACGACAAGGCTCAAAAGTAGGGAGCTAAAGAATCAATATCAACTATATATTCAATTTAAATCAGCAAATGTATGATGAACTGGCTCCATATATTAGAAATCAATGAATCCATATCACATTGCAAACCACTTGCAGAAGATGCCTACATATATTACTTTCAGTATGCTCAAGCATATTAAAAGTTCAACAAAAAAAATAAATTAAAGAATCATCTAGGTTCATGACAACCATGGTTATGTGCTGGAGCACCAGAAGTCGATCATGTAGAGTCAGTCACTTGTTTCTAGATAATCTAGCAAGTAGGATTAACATTTCCAGCTAAGGGGCAGCTAAAACAGGTTTTTGAATATATAAGTAAAGCATGGGTTACAATATACATATGAGTCAAAAAAACAAGACTGATTGAATAATTGCACTACAAAATTAAATTTGAACAAGGCATTGCCTAGGTTTTGCAAACAACTTTGGATCACTCAAACCATTCGAAAAGAAAGCTGAAAAGTAAATTTATCACTCAAATGATTGAGGACTTGGAATTCCAATAGAAGTACCAGTCATAAGTATATAGTTCTTGTAAGGACCTAGAAACACTAAAAAACACAAAACCAAGATCATAATGTATTCCAGACATTTATTGATTCTCTTTTCTTGGTGGATTAAAAAAGCATAAGCACATGTCTTACACAGCGAGCAATTTCATCGACTAAAAGAGTTTGTTGTAATACATAAGTAAAAGGTCAGCTCATGCTTAAGAGCACAAAAGCAACAAATAGCTGGACTAAACACAAGTTCATACATTGCATCCTAGATTTTTTTTAAAAGATTGCATCTAAGATGAATAGGACTATGGCAAGAAAGCATCATTGACGCGTGTAAACAATAAAATATTACACAAGTATAGCCAACCAATATTTAGCTTTAATAGAAATCAATTAGAAGCAAACACTCACTTCAAAATCTATTTTCCAGCTCATCAAAGGAAAAACTAGGAAACGGAAATTTCAGTAAAAAATTCTCCATTTGGATTCAAAGCAGTTACTTTTTATACTAGAAACCTGTCAATCAAATAAAGTTCTTAGACAAGTGTTACCCTTTCCAACGAGCTTTATCAGATTTTTTTTTCGTTAAATAAAAACACTTACATTTACACTCCAAGTAACAACAATTCTACTAAGTGGAGCTAAACTCTATACCAACGCCTCAATTATTAAAGCAATAAAAGAACGTAAACCATTATTCTTTTCTATTCTTTGATTGCAAAGAATCACTTGACTACCGTATCAACTAAGTTTTACAGAACAACTCAAATGACTTAAATCAACTAAAAGGAATGGTAGAGATAATCCAAATTTAACCTCACACACACACACACTGACACACCCAACTGAATTTTCGCCACCAACTTCATATAGCAGCACATCAATCATTACATATATAAATAGAAACTAAAATTAACTTCGCTCAAACAACACTAGAAGAAATCAAACTACAGAAGTCCAAAGTATTGCTCAATTTTCGCCACCAACTCAATTTTACCGCCTACATCACAAATAAGCATATTATCAATTACATACACAGCAGCTTAACCACATTACAATGAAAGCAGCCAAAGTAAAGTAGTCCAAGACTGATTATATGTGCAAACCCTAATTCCCAAATTAATTGCAAAAATCAACCAATTTCTGAAATTCTTTATTGTTACTTCAACTACATGAAATTCCACTTCATCAGCAAAATATTTTACTAAAAAATGATCAAAAAACAATCCCCAAAACTTCAAATTCGTATAATCCTATCAAATTTTGAAGCAAGAACAACACAGCAGAAGTTACACTAAACCTCAAATTCATGGTAAAACCCTAGATATAAAATCATTTGTAGCAAAAATTAAATTGATAAGAAGTGAAGTATGATACAAGAGAGAGAAAGAGAGAGAGAGAGTACCATGTTGAAGAACGAGGGAGGGTCGAAGAAGTTGCAGAGATTGAAGGAGAGAGGAAAATTGGCAGTGTGCCCACGGTCTACGCCGACTCCTATCAAATCAAAATTCCTCAAATAAGATGACAAGTTGATAAAAACAAATACGTAGTATTAAGTTCTAAAAAAAACAATTTTTTTTATTTATTTATTTTTTTTTTACAAGAAATTTCTCTAATCTTAATTCTTCGTATGCGGAGTATACTACCATCAGTCCAAATTACTCGCAACTTTGAAATATTTTAAATCTCACAAATAATATCCCAAAGTTGCGAGTAATTTGAACCGGAGGTAGTATAATAATCTATATCGAAAAAATAACAAGTTTATCAGCATGATAAAAAATAAAAAAAAAATTAAAAAATATATATATATAATGTATTATTTATATTGTTATAAGTAAATCAACAAATTAGTTTTATTTGTGGGACCACAAATGTTGATCTATTTATAAAAATGTTACTTGATAGTTGGGACTTCCTCATATTCAACCATGGGCGGAATCGGGGGTGACTGGGGTAGCCATGGCCACGGGCCACCCCCTTGATTTTGGTTAAACATTAATTTTGCATTTGCTGTCAAACAAGTCTAGAGAATTTTCCTTACTCCCACACTATTTCGGGCTTCCTTCAAGGTTCGTTAAAGGACTAAATAGATTACTCTTAAGTCTTAATCTTAGAGATTCTGGTCACGATGATGATCAAGGCTGGCCTACTCTCTTTGGCATCATTGTGTGGTGGATTTGGCATTGGCGAAATTGTTGTGTTTTCAGTCGACGACGTGAGATGAGATTCTCGTAGATATGGGAGCTTTCATTTGAATTTGAGTTGATGAACCCTTTAGGAGTCTAAATTAAATAGTCTGAATGTCGGCACTTCCTTGAGGCCTAAAAGGCAGCAACAGTATGCGAATTGGCAGCCTCCTGATTTCGGTTGGTGTGTTCTTAATTGTGACGGTGCAGCTAAGGGGTGCCCTGGGCCTGCAAGGGGTGGTGCTCTAATTCGTGATCAAGAAGGCAAGTTCATCTTAGGTTTTGCTGCCAATTTTGGTCGTTGTACAGCCTGCCTTAGAGCTGAGGTATTGGCTCTAACCCGAGGCCTTGAGTTAGCTAAGAATTTACAAATTGAAAAACAGGAAATTCAATTGGACAACCTCACATGTGTGCAAATTCTGAAGCAGGGGACAGCTATTGGAGGTGAGAATGTGCATGAATTAAAAAGATGCATCAATATGCTTAACCAAGATAGCTGGGAGCAGGGGCGGACCTTCATTGAGGCGGGTCGGGGCCCGACCCCCCTTAATTTTTCTAAGCTATTGGTTAAAAGTAATATAATGTTTAATAATTGCAATTAAAAAGTTATGGCATAGTGGTTAAGTATTGTTATTTTTTAGCAAAAGGTTGGAGGATCAAACTTTGGCCCCCAAACTTTTTGGCCCAAGATCCGCCACTAGCTGGGAGGTAAAGATAGCTCATATATATCGGCAAGAAAATCGAGCGGCGTATTGGTTGGCCAACCGCGCAGTCACTCAAGACACGGATTTTGATCTTCTTAGTTTTATTTCTTTAGGCCTTGCCCTTGCCTAATTCCTTCTTAGTTGTTTTTCTTTGTGTTTTTCTTTGTTTTGCTTGTTTTTCTTTTCTTGGCATTGCATCATGAAAAAAAAAAACACACACACAAATTTTCACAGCTTGTTAACATGTGAGATCTTTAAATTATGGGATTTCTTACGTGAGACTATTATTTTTGGTTGAGCGAGTATTGTGCATATTTTAGAGGCTTCCGGAATAATCAAGTAAGGTCTTTACTTGCTCTTGATTTCCCTAGAATAATATACTATTCGAATGTTTTAGAGCATTATTGATATTGAAAGCTATTAGAATATAATACATGGTTCGTGAATTTTCCAGAACATTATGGATACAAGAATGATGGAGAAATTTCTAGAATATTCGGCCATTTCTTCCGAACTCCATTTACACCTATAAATATAGGTCATGGGCATTATTCAATCATTGAATACAACATAACACAAGAAGTCATACCATACACAAGCATTCCTACATACTACACCTCTTTGTACTATCTACCTTCGTTACTTTGTAATACTCCTGTGTGAGTTTTTATTTTAATAGTTCTCTTGTAATACTCGTCATGTACTCTCCTATATTCAAATAGTGGAATAAAAGTGTTTGTCGTTACATAAAATTGTGTGTTCATTTACATTAATTATCTTGTCAATTATCAATTCAACTTATACTACTCAATCAAACACATATTCGCTTCCGTTGCACACTCTTCAACCCTGATCTTGAACACTCTACTTTAAAATCTGATTCCGCCACTGTATTCAACACTTTGACCTTGTTCATTTAAGTTGTTCTGTTATGTCGGGAAGCTCAAAAGAAAAGGGTATTTTTCCGCTTTTTACAAGTGCATTAATTTATTTATTTTTTTATTTTGAGGAAATACAAGCGCATCGATTTAAATATGTGAGATTGTGTGGAAAGATTCTTCCTATATGTTTCTTATAATTTTGTAAATATGTGTCAAGTGATTTAAAACCATTCCACTATAAATTTTGTCCACAATACATAATAATGTGAAATTTGATAAAACTTAGAAATTAAATTGACAAAACTGCAAAGATCCATATAAAAAGAATACAGGTGTAAAATTGGCTTTCAAACATTTGATGTTAAGTTATGGAACTCATCTATTGCTCTAGTACAGCTCCCTCAATGTTAAATTATGGGACGTGTCTTCACTTTCAAGGGTCCTATCCAAACATTTGAAGATGTAGGGCTGGTAAATTTAGTAATGATGCTAGTTGTTTTGCATCCTTGAGCAATGAAGCAACCAAACAAGAAATTATTATATATTATGACATGGTAACTCGACGTCCAACAGCGCTGCTTTTTCAATTGTTAGTCAAAATAATACTACTAAAATACATTTTCACCCTTGGTAAAGGATTTATGCTAAAGGTAGCATGATACTTGTAGAAAGGTTTGTTGTTGTTGTATCGCTTTGATAAATTCTGAATTTTAGAATTTCCAAAAGTTCAGAACAGTCACTCCACCAAACTGTCATTACATATAATAGTTTGGGTTGGTTATTAAGCTGTGAGAATCATTCTTATAGATGAGGAGGATAAACGCAACATCTCACTATATAAATAGTTTTGTAAAAAGTATATACAGTATACATTTTTGTAATACAGCCAAAAACTTCGATTGTAAGTAGAATGATCAATTTGCTTATCTTCTTGGAATAAAATTTTGATAAGGCGTGATTAGCTTGCTACAGATAGTAAGTAATATGTTATGCAGCGAATGCAAATGTAATTAACATATATTCTAAACTTTGAATACCTTCATGAATACCTCTGCAGAAATTGAATCTAGTATGCTAACTTGCTTTTGTACGTCTTGGAAAGTTTAAGCCTGGTTGGAGTAGCAGACACGCGTAACTTTCCACATTCATCTTGACCAAACATACCATACCCTACACCCAACCCATCACCCAGTGAACTCTCTTCAGGCACATTAAATTGCACCCTATTAGCTAATTGTCTCATCTCTGTTACTCGATATCTTTCCTTTGCATTCCTTAGCCTTTTTCCTCCTCTTTTCTTTTTACTTCTTGAATCGTAAGGCACAGGAAGAGCCTTGTGTATCTTAGCTGCTGTTGGAGGTTCTTGCAACTTGTCAATCTTCTTTCGTACCTCTTGGAGGAATTTCCTTCCAATTTGTCCCGTTGAGTCTCCTTTCACGACATCCACTCGAGCTGCAAGGGATAACTTTGCAACCAGTGCACGAGACACATGCCCTCTTAAAGAGGGAGGTGTACTGTGAAACAAATCTGTTTGTTCAATATAACCAATACGAAGCTGATCACTTGAAAAACCTGCTAAAATTTTCTTTTGAGCCCCAACAAGTTTAACATTACAAGCTGGCAGATTAGCTAACTCGACTAAACCACCAGCATCAGCAATGAGTTTAGCCGCAGTGGCACTCCCAACCAGAGCGGAAACATTAGGTGCAATATCTAACATCCGACTCTCAACAAAATTTTTAATTTAGATGGTTCTAGGTAACAATTTTTATTGTGGGTGGTTTTAGACAAAATGATGGATTTAATAGGGGGTTTTAGACAAAATTTCCTAATATTAATTGTAGTTTGAAAAGGCAAATAGAACTATCATTTAAGAACTTAAATTAGGCTATAAGGGTCTATCAATAAGGGACGTAGGGAGTTGAAAAGTTGCAATTAATGCTTAATTAAAGGCGATTCAGAATTACTCCCTCTGTACTTATTTTTTTAGCACATTTGACTGTGCACGGTCTCCAAGACGCGTCTTAGAATGTCTATATCTTTATTTTCATACATGTAAAATTAAAAAAAAAAAAAAAAAAAAAAACCGTAATATTAATAAAATATACAATGAGACGAATATAACAAGACCACTCATGAATATATAATCTTTTATAGATTAATAATAATTTATGGTCAAAGTTTTCAAAATTTAACCCAAAAAATGGCAATGAGGCAAAAATAAAGAGACGGAGGGAGTAATACACATTAGGATTTTGTCCTCTAATAGGGAAAAATATCTTTTTTCGATGTTATTCAATCATATCTATCTTTCTATCTTAATTCATGTTTATCCCTTCAATATATTTAAAGCAAAATTGTTGCATGTTTTCAAGTACAGTAAAACCAATTTTTTTTCAAAAAAAAAAAAAATTCATCCCCAAAATTTTTTTTTTTCAGTGAAATTGAAATCATCTAATTTTAAATTGTGTTTCGGCATTATTATTTTTCTTTTTTTAAAATCTGGGTATGAATCCAAATTTTTGGCGACAAATACAAACTATGTAGTTCCATCTTCTTATTTTCTTTACAAAAATCACTATTTTTTTCCAATTTTCTAAATTTTGATAAGTTCTTTTTACTTTTTAAATCAATGGAGGAAGAAGAAGTAAAATTCATAAACGAAAAATGTATATACTACATACAAGTGAACCAAACCATGCTTTTAGTGATCTACTCAATAACCTTGCCGATTTCGTGGAAAATTATGGGTAAGTTTCGCTGTCATCACCTATCACCTTGTTCTGTTATATAAATATGTTACACTTTTCTTTTAATAAAATCGACATGAAACGAATTATATTATAATTATTTATAAATTAACAAATTGCGTGGACAACCATCAAACTGTCAATCTCAATGACGACCCTTCTAAACTGGCTTAGCCTCAACAACCTTCACATCTCATTGTTCTCTACATTGTTGTACAATACAACTCAAGATATCCCCTGCATTCCCTAGCAGCAGCACCTAGCCCTGTTCCCATCTTCCCTAAAATTCCTGCATCCACATTTATTTTGATCCACCCTTTCATCAGGTTTTGTCCATGTAATCGCATGTTGCTGTCCAGCTAGCAGTTTAATCCTGACACCATCTTCTCTGCCATCTCTCACTTCCCCACATACTCTCATAGCATAAACTATTTGCAAGGTCAGGTTGAGTCCCCTAAAAAACGAAGGTGTTTCGAGCTCCCCATATTGCCTAGCAGATAGTTACAATGTTTTCAAACTCAATCTCATCAACCTCTTTTAATAAGTGCTCCCACCAATCCACCACAGTTCTAAAAATAAGAAAAGTATTAAACCTATAATTACTTCTGTCCCACACATATGATCTCGCGCCAGATTACAGTCCTTTAATGCATGAAGCACATCCTCAATTTCTTGATGACACACAAAACAAGTAGCATCATAGCCAGGGATACGAGAGCCAATGCCTTTCCCGGGAAACGCATTTTGACACGCTCTCCACATAAAAATTTTCACTCTCGAGAGAACGTTAACATGTCATACTTTCTTCCATATCCACTTGGGGTTTGAGGTGGTCTCTTCTTCCTTCTTCCACTTATCATCGAACAAGGCCCTATACGCAGAACGCACTGAGTAGGCAGACGGTTGCTGATGGGGATACTCAGAATTCTTCCTTGCTCTATGTTGGCAAATAATTAAGAAACATAAAGAAAAAAAATGAATGGTTATTAAATAACCATGCATTACCATTGAAAATTAAAGGTGTTTCCAAATATAGGGAAAAATAACTAATGGTAATAAATATTGCAGGCTAAATTTTAAATGGCTTAGGTTGTTTTAGGAAAACTATAAATTGAGCATTTCCTTCATTTGTATGTAATAATTTCAAGAGAAAATCTGAGAGAATAAAAATAACTCAAAGAAAAGAGGGGTTGTGTTTTTTGCACTTTGGTATAAATAGACATTTTGTTTATGTAATTTATTTCTCCCTTAAATTTGATTAAATAGAAAATTTGCATTATTTTCTTAACAATTGGTATCAAGAGCTTGGTTGACAATTAGTCCACATTACGATAAAAATAAAAACGATCCTAAAAGAAAAGGTCAAATTTGAGTGGGAGAAATGGCTGCAGACAAAGGAGAAGTTAAACTTGAAAAATTCGATGGTAAAGATTTCGGATTTTGGAAAATGCAGATTGAAGATTATTTATACCAGAGAAAACTCTATCAACCTCTGGAAGAGAAAAAGCCAGATGGCATGCAAGAAGCAGAATGGAAGCTTTTAGATAGATAAGCACTCGGAGTTATTCGATTGACGTTATCACGCAATGTGGCGTTTAACATTGCAAAGGAAACCACAACGGCAGGTCTCATGAAAGCTCTCTCTAATATGTATGAGAAGCCATCAGCCTCCAATAAAGTTCATTTGATGAGGCGGTTGTTTAGTTTGAGGATGTCGAAAGGTGGATCGGTAGCTCAACACCTTAATGAACTCAATTCTGTCACAACCCAATTGAGTTCTGTTGAAATCAAATTTGATGATGAAGTATTAGCGTTAATACTTTTATCTTCCCTGCCAGATAGTTGGAATGCTACAGTCACAGCTGTGAGTAGCTCATCGGGAAATAACAAGTTGAAGTTTGATGACGTTCGTGATCTGGTTCTTAGTGAGGAGATTCGACGAAGAGAATCAGGTGAATCTTCATCCTCTTCAGTATTGCATACAGAGTCAAGAGGAAGAAATTTAATCAGAAGGAATGAACGCGAAAGATCAAACTATCGAGGACAATCCAGAGATAGGAGGTCAAAATCCAGGAATCCAAATAATTTCCAAAACTCAAAGACTGTGGAGTGTTGGAATTGTGGAAAGATTGGGCACTATAAAAATCAGTGCAAGGGAACACCAAAAGGCAAAGAAGTGAAGGCAGAGGCAAATTTCACTTCTACCGGAGAAGGTGATGATGCGTTGATATGCTCATTGGAGAGCAAAGAAGAGTCTTGGGTATTAGACTCTGGAGCATCGTTCCATGCTACTTCTAATAAAAACTTTTTTGAGAAGTATGTCCATAGAAACCTTGGACAGGTATACCTTGGTGATGACCAACCTTGTGATATTGTTGGTCAAGGTAATGTCAAAATTAAGTTAAATGGGTCAGCTTGGGAGCTGAAGGATGTCAAACATGTTCCCGACCTAAGAAAGAACTTGATCTCAGTTGGGCAGTTGGCTCGTGAAGGTTACACTATAATCTTTCAAGGTGATAATTGGAAGATTTCAAAGGGAGCAATGATAGTTGCTCATGGTAAAAAGAATGGTACTCTCTATTTGACAGCTGGAGCGTGTTATTCGATTGCAGTTGCAACAGAGAATGAAAATTCCAAGTTATGGCACCAAAGACTTGGTCACATGAGTGAGAAAGGAATGAAGATCATGCATTCAATTGGAAAACTCCCTAGTCTAAAAACTGTGAATTTAGACATGTGTGAAGAATGCATACTTGGAAAGCAGAAGAGGGTAAGCTTTCAGACATATGGAAGAACTCCAATGAAATAAAAATTGGAGCTTGTTCATTCTGATGTGTGGGGACCAACAACCACCCAGTCTATAGGTGGAAAAAAGTACTTTGTGACTTTTATTGATGATCACTCAAGAAAAATATGGGTTTACTTTCTAAAATACAAGTCCGAAGTGTTTGAAGTTTTCAGGATATGGAAAGCTAGGGTTGAAAATGAAACAGGTCTGAAGATCAAAAGATTTAGGTCCGACAATGGCGGAGAATATGAGGACACCAAATTCAAGAAGTTTTTCTACGAGCATGGTATTAAGATGGAAAGAACTGTGCCATGTACGCCTCAACATAATGGCATAGCTGAGTGGATGAACCGAACATTGACAGAAAGAGCCAGAAGCATTCGTATACAGTCAGGTCTACCAAAACAATTCTGGGCAGAAGCAGTCAATACAGCAGCTTACTTGATCAATCGAGGACCATCAACCCCATTGGAGTACAAATTACCAGAGGAGGTATGGAGCGGCAAAGAGATCAAATTGTCGCACTTAAAGGTATTTGGTTGTGTAGCTTATGTGCACATTAGTGATCAAGGCAGAAATAAGCTTGATCCTAAATCAAAAGTTTCCACTTTTATCGGTTATGGCGAAGATGAGTTCGGATACCGCATTTGGGATGATGAAAGCAAAAAGATTATTCGTTCAAGAGATGTAATTTTCAATGAGAGAGTCATGTACAAAGATAGGCATAAAATTGAGAGTTATGAAACAAATCAAAAAGAATCTACATTCATTGATGAAGATTATGTCCCAGACAGTACGATGCAAGAGTACACTATCATAAGTACTCCGCAACAAGAAGAACAGACTGTACAGGGCAGTACATCGCAATCAAATGACATACAACAACCTTCTTGTCCAACTCCTACACTAAGAAGGAGTACTCGACCACATGTGCCTAATAGAAAATATATGAATTATTTGTTATTAACTGATGATGGGGAACCAGAAGATTATTATGAAGCATCCCAGACCAGAGATGCTAGCAAGTGGGGGCTTGCAATGAAAGATGAAATGCAATCCCTGATTTCAAACCAGACATGGGAACTAACTGAGTTACCCATAGGTAAGAAGGCCCTTCATAACAAATGGATATATCGAGCAAAAAAGGAGCACGATGATTCCAAGAGGTATAAGGCTCGACTA